GCCTTCGAGCCAGAGCTCGGGCCGCTTCTTTCGTGTCCGATGTTGCGAGAAATCCACTCCTCCTCACTCCCCGATTCGCTCTAGCCCACCGCAGAGTCTCGGATGTCAGCCCCCGGCCTCCCGAGTACCCTTGTGCGACTCTGATGTCGACCCTGACGTCGATGTCTGTAGCGTGTAGGTCATCGCCATCTCTTTCTCGCGTCAACGTCGCTGGAGTGTGGCGGGTTGGTGTGGGGAAGCTCTACCAAGTAGAGCGATGATGAGCGTGCAAGCGCCGGGGCATGTCGACCTCCGGAAAACAAGGAGGTGGGGAGGATCGCGGCGCGAGGAGCGCAGGGGAGGGATATTCGCGCATTGCGGTCCGTAGCTTTCAGCACGGGGAAGGGTGCGGAGGGCGAAGGAGGGGAGCGTCGTGGGCTTCGGCTGCGAGCGGGCCCAGGTGTGGGGGGCGGCGTCGTGCGGGGGCGGGCAACGGCCTGCGACTCCGTGCTTGGGCGGTCCATCGGAGTCTCGGACCCCGCATCGACTGTGCGCGCACGTGCGGCGGGGCGGTATGTCCCCACACCCTTCTCAGTCCCTGCAGCGGCAATCGGAGCCGCAGCGGGGAGGAAACTTGGTCTGGGGCGGCGTCGCGGGCGGGGCGGTGCATCCCGAGGTCGCGTCTGAGCTGTCGTTTGTCCTCGAGCGCGCGTCCAAAGGCTCGAACGCGCGTGCGCGACCGGCGGGCGGTATGTGTCCCCCATCCCCACAGTGGCGGTGGGAACCACACCAGGGAGCGCTGCAGGCGGGAACTTGGACTGCGGCGGTGTCGCGAGCGGGAGGTGCACCTCGACGAGTCGGCGGAGTACTAGCCCGAGCTGTCCGAGTCTGACTCGGAGCTACTGCTCGAGGAGACGGACGCGGACGGAGGAGGAAGGGGAAGGGGACGGAGACGAAGACAAGCTTGAGGGTGAGAGCGAGAGCAGCGTCGGGAGACGGATATGGATGGGCGCTGCCGCGGCCGTGCGCGCGCGCGCGGAGTGGAGAATCGCGCGTCGGGGCGAGTTGGAGCGCCGCCGCGAGTTTAACTGGACACTGACACGGGCACGCCTCCGCACATACGAGCTTATGGGCACGACGCTCCCCTCACTCCACAGCTCCTTCTCCGGAGCTTCCCCAAGACGGACCTTGACGTAGTCAGGGCGGTAGTGGAGGTGAATCTCCTCGCTGCTGAGTGCGCCGCGCCACACAGGCCAGGGGATGCGCGCGCCGATAGACGCTGCGACGAGGGGCGCGGAAGGCAGTAATGAGGGTGAGACGGGGATGGTGATCGTGGAGGGCACGGACGCAAGCATGAGGGACGCTATGAGAATGCGTTGCGCGGAGATGATCTCTTTGGCGGGATACGTGGACCGGAGGGGGCCGAGGGGCTGCGTGATGCAGACGACGACATGGCGGACGGCGACGGCGGCGGACATGTTAGATCGTCTAGCGATGGAAAATCTGGGAATAACGCGACGAGGTCAGCAAGAAATTGGCAGGCGATATAAGAAATGGCTGACCAAACGTAACTGAGGGCGTTGAAAATTTTGAGAAGAGATATGAGGATGCGGTAGAGGGTTTCCGAGACGAGAACAGAGGGAATGGGAACGTGAAGCAGGCGTAGGCAAAAGTAGCTGGTAAGAGGCTCAGAGGAGTCTTACCATCTCAAGCTCACATCGTTCGTCTTTATACAGGCATCGGATGATGACTGGCCACTGGCCACAGATCGTTTCCCACCCTTCTTCCATTTTGGCGGAACAATGAAACGGTGTTCGGTGTTGATCCTTTGTGGCAACTCGTAGCGTCAGCAACAAACCGATTATTTCTGGTCTTGAATCTCGATTGTCTGCCCAAACCGTATGGTCTTGCACTCTGGTGGCCTGGACGCGTGCTCGGCCGGGAATCAACGCGGTGCAATGACTGCCCTGAAAACCCGCAAGGCCCTTCAAAGATGATTGAAAATGGCGATGGTAGGTAGGTAGGTATATTCCGGCGCGGTCCCGTTAAGAAACAGCCGGGGCCCGTACTACGTACATGGCGTCTAATGTACGCTGGCTTGATGGACCTCTTCTTGATTCCATTCTTTCGCGCTTCATCGGCCAAATCCAATCACTCTACGTCCTCCGCAATCTGTCCTTTGGCCACACTATACTCGTCTCCCGTCTCATCAAGGTGTCCGCCGTAGAACTCGCCCGCCACGTTGACTGGACTCGGGGCGGAGTGGCCCATGAGCTCTAGATCTATGACTACATCACAATAAAAATGGTGTCTCGGCTGGATTTTCCAGTTTCTTGTTACCGTCGCGGCGTCGCGTTTTAGTCTTCAGGCCAAATCGCCCCACTCGTTTTTGTTATTGTACACGCGGTTTCTCTACCAAATTCTCTGTACTCTCGACCGCACTTCGCCTGGCAACACGATACTGGTCTTGTTTCTTTTAATCTCGGTCTATTGCTGTCGCTTGTGTTCTCAGCCGATTGTTGTATTTTCGCTCGCCGGCTTGTTCTGACCGCTTTATAAACCGACTTTGACTAATGTGTCTGACGTTTCGGCTGAACGGCCACTCGAGAGGCTGACAAACAAACATTGTTCTCGGCGGGTCAGCGCATAAATCCTCCTCCTCCTCCTCCTTGGACTTAGAGACGTCGTAATCACGCAAAGTGGTCCCTTTTCTAGATACGGAGTCCCTTGTTTTTGCGAGCTAGCTTGCTCATCATCTTCGCTTATTCCAGTCGGTGTTCCGCTGTCCCTGTATTGCAGCGCAATACCTCCAGCGCACACAAAAAGTATAAGATGGGTTGATTCAATGAGCTCATCCCATCCAACGTACAATCATCCCATTCCAACAACCTCAACTATCCTCACTATGTCTGCACTATTCACCCCGCTGAAAGTCGGAAGTACTACCATCCCCAACAGAATTGGTAGAATTGGATTTGTTCTTCCAACATTAATATTCGAGCTCACTCCAATGTGCGCGCAGGGATGGCTGCTCTCACGAGAAATCGTTCTACGGGAACCGTGCCCAACGAGATCATGTTGAAATACTATGTTCAACGTGTCCAGGGCGGCGCCGGTCTGATCGTTTCGGAGGGTATTCTCATCTCGCGTCAAGGGTGATTCAACTTGTCTTTACTGTCGCCATCCTTGACACCGGCTGACATGCACTAACAGCACCGAGTGGCCGCAAGCTCCCGGAATCTGGGATAAAGCTCAAATCGAAGGCTGGAAGAAGATCACCGACGCTGTTCATGGGGCCGGGGGCACGATTTATGCGCAGGTTTGTCTCCTTCTACCACTCCGAGTCGAAACTGAGTTTCTTTATTCAGCTTTGGCATGGCAGGGCTATCCTTAACTTCGATGTCTTGACCCTTCTGATTCCCAATTTTAGTGGGCCGCCTCAGTCACCCTGACGCTCCCGAGCAGATCGCCGCAGGCGAGGTGGGTTACATTGTCCTACTTGATGTCGAGAATTGACGCGGGAGCCTGCCAGCCGGTGTACGCACCCTCTGCAATTTCTGCTCGTGGAGGCAAATTCCGCTTCCTGCCAGGAGAACCCGGATATGTTACGGTACGATTAAATCCTTGATTTCTGACGCGTTCCTGACGTGAATTATCTCGTTAGCCCACCGAGATTGTTGACCCCACTGTATTCATCGCGCAATTCAAGCAGGCTGCTATCAACGCCAAAGAGGCTGGGTTCGATGGGGTTGAATGTACGACTCCGACTGAGATTTTATTTCTCAAATATTTGTTCCTGATGGGCTTCCAGTGCACGCTGCGAACGGCTACCTCGTGCAGCAATTTCTCGACTTCAACTCTAACAAGCGGACTGACAAATGGGGCGGCAGCCCTGAGAACCGCGCACGGTTTGCCATCGAGATCTTGAAGGCATTGATTGAAGTCTGGGGACTAAACGTCGCAATGAAACTTAGCCCTGGTGTGTTCAGTGTCTTCCTTCACCTCGCTTACCCTCATGCGCATTTTAGCCGGTGGCTACAACGACATGGGAATGCCTTTGCAAGACATCATCGACACATTCGGGTACCTGCTGCGCGAGGCCAACAAGTTGAATCTGGCATATGTCACCCTCATGAAGTACAGCGCGTTCCTCGATCCGGAATATGACGGTGACGGTGGGTCGTATTTCGCTTGTTTCATTATCGCAAGACTGAGCCAAACCCTCGAATCCTATAGGCAAGAAGCGCGCGACGCAGCACGACGTCATCGAGACCTTCACTCCGTTCCTCACAAAGGTCCCTGTCTTCGCCAACGCGGGAGTCACGCCTGCCGAGGCTGAGAAACTCGTTGGGAGCGGAAAGGTTGCGGGGGTTTTCTTCGGCATGAACTGGATCAACCACCCGGATGTTGTGAGACGCATCAAGGCGGGGAAGCAGCTCGATAATCCGCTCGATTGGATGACTCTGTACGGGGCAGAGGGTGTTGATCCGGCTCTGGGATACGTGGATTACAAGGAAGCGACATATTGACTGTTATCTGTAGGCTAGTCCAGCTTGCATAGAAATAGACCGGGAAAAATTGATATGCCCTGCACATTTGTTCACGGAGATGAGTTGAAACCATACAAGCGCTCGCCGGCGCTTCGCGCCGGCTCCCACGTGCTGGATGTAACTGAAATAAGAATGTTGATCCGAGCTGCCGGAATGATAGTTTATAAAGCGGGTGAGTTGAGAAGGAGAAGTGATATCGACGACTATCCGCGGTGGATTCGGGTAGTGTATACAACATCCGCGCCATGTCAATCATAGGAGAACTCGGAAATCTTATTTCTATTCTGAGGGCATCACAGACATAATTATTGCCATTTATATGCGAGGCCATAAGATGTTGACTGTTGGACTGAACGATTGTGAATCTTTTCAAAAAGTTACCTCCAAGATACGTCGCTGGCCGGTGGAGCAAAAGGAAATTCGCAAGTGGGCCAAAAAAGGAAATTACGGTACCCAAAAAGGAAGAAGAAACTGCCCCCGTGAGGATCGAACTCACGATCTCAAGATTGAACTACCGTCGAAACGAAGTATCCTAACAGTCTTGCGCCTTAACCAGCTGGGCCAGGGGGCACTTCTTGACGCTCTCCGGAGGGATATATGAGCCGTCTACGAGCTATCTACTTTTTTTTTTCAGAGAGAAATCAATCAAGAGCACCCTGCCGACGGGCCTCGGGCAGTGATTAGAGCCGTATGGATCGGGGCTTTCCCGGTCGCTTCCCATATTCCCCTCGGTAAGCTTAGATCCATTTTTGGGTCGACGTCTTGGCTCTGGTCATTCGTATCGGTTTCTTCGGGCTTCTAATAATATACGACTGGAAGCATTGGCTCCCAGATTTTTCACGTTTGACAGCTGGCAACGAACAACAAGTTGAACAACGAACAGCTTCGCAGTGCGCACAGCCGCCTTGTCGCACAGCCGCTTTTCCCCCGAAGTCTTAGGCGCTCATGATCAGGTGAGCCTTTCCTCAGATTACCATGTCAGAGCGTACCAGCCGCAGCTTCAAAAACGCAGTTGCGGGAGTATTTCGTACGCGGCCACCCCCGCCTTCTGCCTCCGGGTCTGTGCCTCCACCAACAGCCATTGATACCCCTGGCACACCGATCCAAGCAAATAACAGCCAGTCACCATCCACGGTAGATGCGCTATCTGCTGCTCATGGGGCTACGTCTTCCATTCCACCCACGTCCGTTTCACTATCTGAAAGTGTGATCGGGGCCATTTCCACGAGCACAAAGGATTCCACTGTCGATAACGCGGTACTTGTGCTTGATATCGTCGAAAAGCTTTCGGGATTCGCTCAAACGATTCCGTTTATTGCCCCTGCTGCCGGTTTCCTTTCGCAAATTCTGAAAGCATATAAGGTACGCATGAATAATAACCGTTCGTTTTTCGGTAAAACTCTAATACTCCTTCAGGAAGTCCAAGATGCAGATCACGAACGGGATGTTCTTCTCAGTCATATTACGGGCATCAGCCAAGACCTCTGTGGTACCGTTCTGCGGATGGAGGCTACAAATCACGTCAATATGATTGGACGTCTCAAGTCGGACATTGAGACATATACTCGGTGGGGTTTCCTTGCTGAGTGGTCCTACTGTACGGAAGTTGAGAATTGCATCAGGCTACTTGAGGAAACCTCCAAGTTCCTGGGCGAGTATGATGGACTTGGGGCACTTCGTCGTGGTGCAGCGCGCAGCCAGTTGAGAACTGGATTGAGCGACCTTCAACAAAAGCTCGATTCATTCGGGGCTCGGTTCCGGGTAAGTCCCCAAACATCGATATCCTTTTTTTTCTTTGTGCCTATAGCTTTATGCTGTTAGAACAACCGTCTGGTGGATCTTGCCATTCAGCAGAGTAAGATAAAAGAAACACTGGATAAGGTTCATGATATGGCGTTCGTCACATTTTTTTTCTGAATCCCGTGTCTGCTGACTCTTCTGAAGACTCGAAAAGAAGCTGGAAGAATGGTTGCAGTCACCGCCCGACATGCGGCAAAAACAACATGAGACTCAGAAGCTCCGCAAGGAGGGCACTGGGTGCTGGTTCCTGGAGGGAACTGCATTTATCGAGTGGCAAGACAACGCGGGACCATTGTGGATTCAGGGTGCCTGTAAGCTACTCCTTCATTCGATGGACTTAAATCTAACCCGACGTCTGAACAGCCGGAACCGGGAAAAGCGTACTCAGGTGATATTTCAATCCCCTACGTGTTGATTTGTGTTTTACCAATGCCATTCCTAGTTCTTCCGTAATACAAAAGCTCATCGACGACCAACAGCTATTTGCGGACTTGGGAAAGTCATCCGGGGTCGCATTCTTTTATTTCGACTTCAAGGCCAAAGACGGGAATGCCGTAGAAACGGCCCTCCGTCGGATCGTCCTTCAGCTCTCCGCCCAGTCTCCCCACCCCTTCGGTGTACTGGATAAGCAGTACAACTTGTCCAGAGGGCAGGCCCTGCCGAGCTACCGTGACCTTCAACGTATACTCGAAGAATTGTTGAAAGAGCTCGGGCGTGTATACATCGTCCTGGACGCGCTGGATGAATGCCCAGATATCGAACTTGCGCAGCTCGTCAGCCTCATTTCGACGCTGCGGGACTGGGATCACACCCCATTGCATCTCTTATTCACCAGTCAAAAGCGTACCATCTTCACAGAAGCATTCATGGAAGTAGCGTGTATCCTCCTCGACTCGGACATTACACAGCCGGATATCGAACTGTTCATTACTAGCGAACTTCGCGAGAACCGGCAGCTAAAAATTTGGGCCCGTCGCACAGACGAAATCGTTGAGCGGGTTTTACTGATGAGCAACGGAATGTCAGTCCCTCCTCTTAGGCTTGTCTTCTTTATTTTTATCCTCATTCACGTTTCCAGGTTCCGCTTGGCAGCCTGCCTACTCCTCGAACTTTCTCGCTGTAAACGCCAAAACGAGTTAGATAAAACACTAGCAAATCTCCCGAACGACTTGTTTGGGATCTATGATCGCTTCCTGGAGACAATTCGCGAGGAAGACTTGATATATGTTACAGGAATTCTGCGCTGGCTCATATTCTCTGCCCAAAATCTCAACCTCATCGAGATTGCGGATGCCGTTGCATTTGACTTTTCCGACCCAGCATGTTACACATATGATCCAAGCATGCGGGAAGATAACACCAATGCGATCCCCGAGTGGTTGGAGGGCCTGACCACTGTTCGCGACTACGACAACAGAAAAACCATCGTACTTGCGCATGCCTCGGTTCAGGATTACCTCCTCTCCGGGCGGTTCACGGCCAAATTTGGTTACGACTTCGCTCAAGGCCCTTCACACAGCTTTATTGCGCGGGCTTGTATCAGCTATCTTCTCCACTTTGCCGACCATCCTCTCGATACGGAAACATTCCACAACTATCCGTTGGCTGAATATGTGGCAAGGCGTTGGTGTCACCATCTACTGCGTTGCCATGACCCAAGTGCATTATTTGCCCAAGCGATCCACCTTTTGGAGGACGACAGCAATCAATACAACGTCTTGAATGATCTTCGTCAATATTATGGTTCCCGAATGCTGTGTTTTCGGGATGATGCCTTTGAGTTCGTGGACTTGTACGGCACTCGGAGCTTTTCGCGGAACCCTTCCTCTGTTCCAACGTTCCAACCAGGCAGCTTTCGAAGAGTGCCGCCCCTACATTTGTGTTCGGCGGAGGGGTACACCGAGGGAGTGCGTTGGCTGCTCCAGCAAGGCGTAGATGTCAACATCCGAGATGCGGACGGGAGCGCTTTCCATGCCGCTTCGGGTCACGGCCACACGGAAATCGTTCGTTTGCTACTCGAAAAGGGTATTGACTTCAATGCGAAGGATGGGAAGGGTAGAACCGCATTGGAGGTCGCTTGCGCCGAAGACCACACAGATGTTGTACGGCTCCTCCTCGAAAGCGGTGCTGATGCCAATGAAAAGGGCGCGTTCCTAGGAACTGCTTTGCAGGCTGCGTCGTGGGTGGGCAACAAAGAGGTGGTGGGCCTTCTACTCGCACATGGTGCCGATATCAATGCACAAGGCAAATACTTCGGCAGTGCGTTGCAAGCCGCTTCCAGTCACGGCAACACGGAGATCACTCGTATCCTGCTTGAGCGCGGCGCGGACAGTAACCGACGAGGCGGCAATTATGGAAGCGCGTTGGCGGCAGCTTCCATGAACGGTCACGCAGATCCCGTGCGTTTGTTGCTCGAACACGGCGCCGACGTCAACATCAATGCACAAAACAACTTGTTTGGAACGCGCGCGCAGGCCATGCGACTGAGAGAGTACGACGAAGCAGCACGTTTCCTCCTCGCAAAGGGTGCTGATGTCAGTGCTCAAAACGAATATCTCGGAAGCGCTTTGCAGGCCGCGTCTATGAACGGGCACTCTGAAATTGTCCGTTTACTGCTTCAGAACGGAGCCGATGTCAACGCACGAGGATGGGGAGGCGGAAACGCGCTGCATATCGCATCCAGCAGTGGCGATATGCAGCTCGTTCGTCTCCTTCACGGCGCCGATGTCAATGCCAGAAACGACGGATTGGACGCTGCGTGCAAGAATGGCCACGCGGAGGTCGTACGCTTTTTGCTTGCGAACGGCGCAGAAGTCACCGAGAACGTATTGGGGACCGCGTCCAGGAATGGTGACATAGAGATCATCCGGCTGCTCCTCGAGAAGGGCCCAAATGCCAACACAAATTGGGAACACTTCAGATCCGCCTTGTATGCCGCTACGGACAGTGGTCACATAGAAGTCATTCACCTCCTCCTCAAGAACGGTGGGGATCTGCGCGCAGATGACGAGTCCCTCCGAAGATTGTTAGACGTAGCATGCCACGAAGGTCACACCCAGATCATCCAATTTTTGCTCGACAACGGTGCAGATGCCAATGGCAATGATAATTCAAGTTATCACGGAACCCCATTGCAGGCCGCAGCGTACAGCGGCAAGATGGACATATTCCGTCTCCTGATACAAAGCGGCGCGGACGTCAACGCAGATAGTTTAAATTCCGAATTCGCGACCGCGTTGCAAGCGGTATCGTACTGGGGTCATGCAGACATCATTCGTCTTCTGCTCGAGAATGGTGCGGACGTGAACGCACGGGGCGGGGCATACGAGACCGCATTACAGGCAGCAGCATGCTTTGGTCGCAAGTCTAACAGAGAGGCGATAGCTCTCCTTCTTGCAAATGGTGCGGACGCCAATGCTCAAGGTGGGAAATATGGGGGCGCGTTGCCGCGAGCGTGCAAGAACGGCGACATTGAATCTGTTCGACTCCTACTCGCAAACGGGGCCGACGTCAATGCCCAAGGCGGGAAATACGTGAATGCTCTGAGTGCCGCGCGCCAGAGCGGCAGCGAAAAAATTGTGCAACTCCTGCTCGAAAATGGTGCAGACGTTAATGCCGGGCTCCCATTGTACACTCTGTCGCATCGTGATACACAGATCACCCGTCTTCTTCTCGAGAATGGCGCCGAGGACACAAGAGACAGACGACATGAAAGCGCATCTCGATTCGGTTATGTGGATCTTGTGCGCTCCCTACTCGCGAGCGGTGGCA